TCTCATCAAAGAGAAGGTTCCAGCTCCTCGAAGCCTGCTTCAGTCCATAAATGGACCTCTGAAGCTTGCACACCATCCTCGGGTTCCTTGGAACATGATGAGCCTACCACATACCCATCATGTTCCATCTTTGTCATTGTCGATCGGTTCTCTAAGATGGCTCATTTTGTGCCATGTGCAAAAGTGGATGATGCCAAGAATATCGCCAACTTATTCTTCAAAGAAGTTGTGCGTTTGCATGCGATCACACCCTTAGATCTCGTGGCAATTCCAAACAAAGAGGTTGTCAACTTAGATGGAGAAGCAAAAGCCGAACTTGTCAAGAAACTCCATCGGAGAGTTCGAGACAACATTGCCCATAGAACCGAACAATATACTCGCAATGCCAACAAAGGACGAAAAGAGGTAACATTCAAGGAAGGTGATTGGGTATGGCTACACTTTAGGGCTGAGCGTTTCCCGGAAAAGCGGAAGTCTAAACTCGCACCTAGAGGCGATGGACCATTTCAGTGCTTGAGCGAATTAACAACAACGCGTATCGTCTTGAATTACCCAATGATTACAATGTGTCTAGTACTTTTAATGTGGCTGATCTACTTCCTTTTGATGCAGGTGATGACATTTCGAGGACGAAATCTTTTCAAGAGGGAGGGAATGATGCGGACATCATAGCTATTGGTGATGCATTGGACAAGAGCATGGATGGGAGCATGGACGAAAGTAATGGAGCACATCAAGATAAGGAAGCCCAGCAAGAAGGAGCACAGTCAGACTTGGAGAAATCATAATAAGAAGCTGATAATAGTCTCGCCACATCACATGGTGATGAATCGAAGATAAAAGCCAGCCGAGTGCCACTTCAAGAAAACCGCGTGCCACCTCGCTCTGAACCACCACTCACTCGAGCCAAAGCACGAGTTCTTTGACAACGCTTCAACACATTCGTTCAACGCGTGTTATACGAGCCCATGATTGAAGCCACGATTCTTCCCTGCTTTGGAACGAGCAAGACGAGCAACATATTCACATGGCACACTTAGCTTTCTTCTTCATCAAGACAAATAGCAAAAGGAAGCTTCTTGAGAGTCAAGGCATCTCCCAACAGCTAGTTTCTTCCCAACCACTTCATTAAATGCTTAGGCTCTCACCCTTGCTGCATGTATTTCGTCATTTCGTCAAGATCTCGTGTACATCAACATAACACGCTGAATCGATAGTGGATGGCTGCTTCATATTGTGATCTAACGTGAACTCAACAGTCTCGTCACCTATCTTCATGGTAAGACGACCAGCTCGGACGTGTACAACCGCATCAGCCGTGTTCAAAAACGGTCTGCCCAGAATAATCGGTATCTTCGAGTCTTCATCCATGTCTAAGACAATAAAATGAACGGGGACATAATAATCTCCGACTTTCAAAGGAACATCCTCGAGAATACCTGCGGGGTACTTAACAGATTGATCCGCTAGCTGTAGCGCCATCCGTGTCAGCTTAAGCTCACCAATATTAAGCTTCTTGTAAATGGACAACGGTAGTAAACTGACGCTAGCACCAAGGTCGCACAATGCAGTAGAAAGGTACCTTAACCTCTAACTTCCGAAGCATATCAATAAATCTAGACAGCTGTGTATCCTCAGTATGCTTCTTCAATCGAGAAGGGAAAGGAATGGGTGGTACATAAGGTGGAGGAGCTACATATGGCGGTTCGGCTTCCTCTACATGCACCTTAGGTGTCTCGTGAGCTATGGCTTTCCCTTTCTCTTCAGTAGTGTGTCTAGACGTCGTTCCTTTTTCTGTGGTAGTAATAGGGACCGTCTCAGGTAGACTTTCTCCACTTATAAGCTGAATGGCATTGACGTGTTCTCGTGGATTCGGTTCGGGCTTTCCAGGAAATGTGCCTTGCTGTCTAGAGGGTTCTGATGCAAGCTGCGCAATCTGGATGTCCACATGCTTCAGATGAGCCTCAACTCCATCTAATCTCCTCTCAAAAGTGTCTTGCCTGACTTTTATACTCTGTATCTCGGTCTTTAACTCAGTAAATGATGTCTTCTGATCGAGCATTAGTTGGGAAAACATCGTCTTGATGTTCGCTTCATCATTCTTCGCAGGTTGAGGTGCTCGGTAACCCTGATTCTGCTGCCCGTATCCTAGATTCTGCTGCTCCTATCCCTGATTCTGCACCTGAAAACGTGATTGAGTGAAGCCCGGTGGATTCTGAGGGATTCTGGGGACGCCCTGCTGCTGCGCATTCAATGATCCGCTCGGGTTTCCGTAGGAGAAACCAGGATGATTCCTGGGCGCATTCGGGTTGTAGAGATTAGAAGGATTCTGGTACTGATTCCTTCCAATGTAGTTGACGTCCTCAACCGGTTCTTCCTCTGATGTGGCCTGATCAACCAGAAACATACCAGGCTGGACTTTCTGCGGGATAGACGTATTCTTGAGTCCCATATGCTGCTTGATCGCCGATAAATCAGACATGACTGCCTTCAAAGCAGCGGACTCGCCCAAATCTATTCGTCCTGTAGAGCATCTGATGCTATCTCCTGACATCCCTCTTGCTTTAGCCATCTTCGCAATCTGCATCTCTAGGGTGTCAAAGGGAATGTCGTATACACTCCCTCCACAAGCTGCATCCATCCATGCTCTAGTATCGTCTCTCAGTCCGTGGATGAATATGGAAAGCAGCAGTCGCTTATCCATGTCGTGGTGTGGACAAAGGCGTTGGTAGCTTTTGAACCTCTCCCATGCGTCATATAGACTCTCATAACTCTCCTGAGTGAAGCTGTGTATGGCTCTCTGTGCAGCTCGGGTCTTCTCTGGAGAGTAGTATCTCGCCATGAATTGCTCCTCTAGCTCCTCCCATGTCGTGATCAAGAGTGTAGAGCCAATCTCTCGCCCGATCCATCAGTGAAAAAGGAAAAGCCTCCAAATATACATCCTCGATGGTCATTCCTCGTGGCTTCCTAACTGATATGCACAACATCTTAAACTGAGTCAAATGAGCAATGGGATCCTCTGTAGGCCCCCCTCTGAAACTCGCCTGACTGAACATCGTGATGCACTGTGACGGTAGCTCAAAACTGTCAATGGGCGGACGGTTGATGCATGATAGGAGTTGGGTGTGCTTCGGTGCAATGTA